ATGTGGTGCTGGGGGATCGAACCGCGGTCCCTGATGCTTTGCTAAGCTTGTTCTAAGTAGGTGCTTTAGACCACTGAGCCATCTCTCCAGCCCTCAAAGCCATTCTTAAAGAAACTTCCAGAATGCATTATTAGGTCTTGCTGTTAATAGCCTTTTTAAAAAATAATTAATTACCTTTGTTTCCCCAATGTTGTCCTTTATGTCTGTGTTCTGCTTTAATATTGGCCACTCACTCCAGCTGCTGTTTTAGAGTAGATGTGAAGCAAACGTATCAGAAAAGGATACTCAGGACATTTTTCATAGTTACAGAAATGAAAATTTATGGTAGAAGGCTAGAAACTTCCTATGGTATTAAAATAAAACCAGAGTTATCAGTATGAATTCAAGTTTTTATTATATATACAGATGAGTAGATATAGGAATTAATATAGATATGTGTATACATTGTTTAGTGTCCATATACTACTTAGTATTCTTTGCAGGGAGGACCTAGAAGCAGTGACACACTGGTAGCAATGAGCACACCTACCAGTCAGATTTTGGTTTCTAGATATCATGTACAACAAAAAATTACTTCATTGAGAAATGGCTGATGCCTAAGTAGCAGAGAGAAAATAGAAGTTGAACTTGAAATATCTTGTGGCCAGGAACTAAACAGGGTCTTAAATAATGATGAGATATGTCCAAAGAACACAAGAATCAACTTAAATGAGTCAAAGGCTGGTTCAATTTCTGCAGCAAAATAGTGGTAATGTTGGATTGTAACTTATAAAATCAATATTCAGGATTTCATACTAATATAAATAAGCAAACTAATAAATGAAGTAGAAAGGACAGTTCTGGATAAAGGAAATAGGAAATTAGCATTGTCACACATCACAGTAATAATCATTATGAATGAATCCCATTGAAGGAATCTGACATTAGTGGAAAAAGGTGTTCACTGAATCTCCTAGAATCGCCTCCGCCAGATATTTATTTACAAAAGGGAAAATAGTAACTCTAAAGTGGAAAATTCTGCTTTACTCATGTGACCCAGAGTCAGTATTACCAATCATAAAATAGCACTATTCCATTACCCAATAAGATGCACTAAGAACATCACTTCATGATGGAGAAAAAAAAAAAAAACCTCCTGTTCATGAGAAAGCATCAGATAAACCCAAATGGACCGGTGCTCTGCCAAATAGTTGGTTATACAAAAATCTTAAGGTCATGAAAGACAAGGAAAACTGGAAATCTGTTGCGTATTAAAAACTAAACAGATTTGGTACCTAAATTAAATGAGAATCCTATGTTGAATGCTAGACCAGAGAAAGGACTATCATGGGGAAAATGATATACTTTAAATAATATTAGTGATTACCTAATACTTCCATTGTATCAGTATGAATTTACTGATTTCAGTAGTACTCTAGTTACATAATTGGTTTAGGCTATATGATAATTTTATATTTCTGCAACATTTATATAGGTCTAAAAGTATTACAAAATAAAAAAAATTTAAAGATGAGGATCATGTTTAACTCCTGTCTATCAATTTAAAATGTTGAAGTAGCAGAAGATAGGATCATATTCTAAGCTGTCAATTCAGTTCAGTGGAGCAGATCCTGGGCACTATAGTACAGTGCCCAGAAGTTAACTCAATAAGATAGTCCTTGCCTCTAGGATGCTGAGACTATTGGCGTTTGAAAATAATGTAGCTATCCGTGTCAGTCACTTAAATTAGGAAGGTCTCTATTCCTTGATGATTTAAAATAAAGAAGTTAGGGGAAAAAATGAAACTGGACAAAATGAAATAGATATGAGCCATGCATGGCAGCTCACACCTGCAGTCCCAATACCAAGGGAAGCTTATGTGGGAGGATTGCAAATTCAAGCCCAACCTAGACAACTTAATAAGACCTCAAAATAAAAATTATTAAAAGGACTGGAGATATATATAGTTCTATGTTAAAAAATGTTGGTCAATGTTAAGATACTGGGTTTGCTGCCCATTACCACAAGAAAGGAGGGAAATAGGAAGGAAGGAGATAGATTTTAGGAATCTGTTCAAGGAAGAGCCCTCAGAAAAGCTCAAGTGTTTTCAATCTCAGTTCTTAAAGAAATTATGATAGCCATTAAATAACCAATTTAGGCCACCTTTGGTTTAAACACATTGTTTTCCAGGGATCAATTGGATATTTGCCTTAACATAACTACTATATAACAAGGTATGTCACTGTTGAGTATATAGAAAGAAGCATGTATATGAGGATAAAGGGGGTTTTAAGTCAGACAGTCCCTTAACGCTCATTTTCTAGATGATTGTATGACATGAAGCCTACACTTTATAATCCTTTTGTGACAATTTCTGGTTGATGAATTGATGTTTCATTTAGCAGATATTTGCTGTTGAGAAGTTAGGAGCTGTAATACACTTGTCTGGAAGTTATATATGACTTAGGTTGTAAATCTTATTAATGAAGTTGGATTTTAGTTCTTAAATATTTTTAATCTCTTATTTTTTATTTTGTGGAATTAGATTTAATCAAGATAATTGTATGAATGAAGTGGAAGTTCAGTAGTGCATTATATTTAATGAAATAAATTTAAGGAACTTATTTCTACCCTGAAATTTTTTAACCAAAGGCTTAGTGCTAACACACTTATCAGTATGATGCTTTCTTTGGAGAATTAGAAGTTGTATATCTTGTTACTTCAGTAGAAATTTCCAACATATGAAATTTTCAAATCTCCACAGAATTGAAAAGTCAATGTGGGTACTATACTTTGAAACATGTATATACTGTGAGCCTAAGGTGTTTTTTAATCTTTCATCTTTTTAAAGAATCAAATAACATTAGAAAAATAAATCTTGAGCATTACAAACATAGTCTGGTGAAATTCAATATTCACAGTGACAATTTAGAATATGAGCTCCTTGAGAGGAAAGTGAACTCACCACTCTAACTTTGCATCTAAACATCTTAAAGTGTGCTGTTGGTTTTATGAAATGGTTTTGATCCTCACTCCTACTTTAAGTTCAAAAGAAAACCTACATTAAAGTGTATTCCTTTTCTGGGTATATTTACTTTGAACTACAACATATAGTTTTTCTCATAAATCTAACCTGCCACTATCTGTTTTTAAGACTTTGTAAACTTCAAGTGGTTATGATGTTTGAAGTTTGGATTAAAATAAATTTTTTAGAAAACACATGTTATATATTTTGATGGTTTTAAATTTTAACACAAGTCAGTCAAAAGGCTGAGTGAGTATCTAGCAAAGTAACATAGTGTATTCTGTTGCTGTAAGAAATCACAGAAAATTGCCCTTTCCCGTCATGTTAACTACAGACAAATGAAGCAGCTGCTCTTATTCTTAATGTTGTCTTTGAAAAACTTGCACAATTTAATGAAAATGTCTCTACTCATAAAACATAAAATGCTCACACATGGAAAATGTCATAATGTTTTGGCAAATATTGCTTTGTTAGGAATGTGAATGACGTATACCTGCTTCATAACTAGAATTATATGTAAATGGCATGAAACCATGGTGGAAAACAAACTGAAAGAGTCCGACAGAGTGAATTGACACTCTTTAAAAACATAGTCCTTTCCCAACTATTATCTTTTTCAGGAATAATTATATAGTTATGTCTATTTCTTTTTAGGCATAATTCTTGGATCATCATTTCTACTCAGCTTAAATGATTTTCTGCTTAAAACAAGTCTCAAAGAAAAAAGTCGGATTTTGATAGGACCATTTTGTGGTACTGCCAGTCTGGAAGCTAATTGGTGTAAACACAGTGGCAATCAAAGCCCAGACCAGTCTCTACCAAAAATATCCATCGATCTAAGAGGAGGTCTGCTACAGGTCTGTGAGGATTTGCCCTATTTTCCCATAAGCTTTTAAATAGCTTTTGTTTTTAACTGTTTCACTACATTTTAAGTTTGTGTGTGTGTTAAAAATTATGTATATTGTCATTGCTATCTTCATAAATTTTTTAAAAGATTTACTGAATTATATTTTATTTAAAGAATATAAGTTCTATCATTTTTAGTACATTTACAGAGTTCTGTGATCATTACCACAGTTTTAGAACATTTTCCTTACCACTTTATTCATCATTTGAGAGATATTTCCACTGAGCTTGTATAAATAATACTAGTGTGAACATCTGTCTACAAGTTTTTTGTAGGGGATATACTTTCTTGTCTTTTGGGTATATAATTAGAGGAATTATTGGATCAAACTTTTTTTATTGATAAACAAATATCAATGAGACAGTTTCAAAATTGATTAATAGAACAGTTTCAATAATTAGTACATTGTACATTGTTATCTTCTTAGTGGTTATCCACAGTACAAGATGGAGACAGGTTATCCTGTCCAAACACTATTAGTACAGATCTTTCTTCTCATTGAATTAAGTGAAAGTAGCTGTATATCTATCCTAACTATTCTGTATATACAGATACAAAATGGTCCTTCCTTTGTATCGCCTTTTTTGGTTTACTCCTGTCAGAAATGGGTATTCCATTGGCATCTAAATACTATAGGTGCATGAATTCAACAAAACAATCAACACAGTCCAGCAGTCCACAATCGTAGTGGGTTTGGATCAAGCATTTTAATGCATAGAAGTTTTCTAATTATAAACTAGTCAACATGTTTGAAACACAGTATCACTGGCAATATATAAACACCATTTCATAATAGCAGTTTTGTTAGGGTGATGTCTGATGATTAACCTATATGTTACATGGCACTTATATATTTGCCTGATAGCCAAGTATGGACTGTGAGAATATCCACCTTATTTCTTGATGATATATGGATAGCTTCTTAATCTAATATTTATCTGATTTAGTATTCTTCAAGCTTGTCATAAATCCAAAAGCTTCACACAATTCACAGTGATAGAAAATTGAAATGACTTATTGGTCAGCAATGGAATCATATTAAATGTGAATTTTATGTTTTCTCCTAATTGTATTCCCTCAACTTTTCAGTAGTTGTGCTAACATAAATCAAGAAATCAGGATGTCCTGATAACTTACACTCTGTATTTTTTGAAATTTGCAGTATCTATCATCATCAATCTGAACACATTTAGTAATAAACAAGGTTTTGTTTTGCTTTCCAATGCAACAAAGTAACTATACCTTAAAACAAAAAATTAAGGTCAGGAATATTGGCTCATGCCTGTAATCCCAGTCTCAGAAGACTGAGGCACAAGGATCACAGCAAGTTCAAGACCAGCCTGGTCTAACAAACTGAGTTCAAGGCCAGCCTCAACTGCATTGTGTAACCTTGTCTGAAAAAATAAAAAAGAAAATCTAAAAAAAACCTGTAAAAACAAATTATATCATCTCTACATTTTAATCATTAACTATCTCTTGACAATTTAAAGGCTTAAATGTATTTTTATCCCCAGCTTGACTTTTCATCTCTATTTTTCAGTACCTAATAAAAATAATACTGATGGGAGCAAAAAAAAAATTAGTGTTTTATCTTATATCAGGGTACCTAAGCCTGAAATTTCAAACTTGCCATGAGTATAGGACCACTTTTTTCTACCTTTGTATATTCTTTTCTCTATACTAATTAGTTCTTTCTGAATTAATAGTCATATTGTCTTTACCCATATATTCAGAGAAATTTATCATTATTGACATTTCAATCCTTGGCCATTAATCTCTATGATGTACTGGTAATATGTCTACTTTATTCAAAACCATAAAAAGTGGGGCCAGGGAGATGGCTCAGTAGTTCAATCCCCAGTTTAAAAAAAAACAAAAAACAAAAAAAAAAAAACAAACATAAAAAGAAAAAAATCTGCTCTGGTAGAAGAAACTACATGCTTTTGCTCTAAAACTCTACTTACTGGGCAATTGATTTGCAGAGAAGGGCTATGGAATCTCCTGTGTTGATTCACTTCACTAAACACAAGTTAGGAGCCTTCTGAATTTTAAGTCTGTTGAATACGTTTCCCCTCTCCTTTTCTCTGAAGTGTAAAAGTACACAGAAAGGAGTACTGTGATGAATATTATTTAATCTCATGACAAAATGTACAAAGCTATTCTGCAAGGTTATTAGTATTAGTATTATTCACATTTTGGCCTACGGCAGTAGCAGGTAACATAGCCATGTGCCACAGCAGGCTGTTTGTTATCCTGGAAAGCTCTAAAAATTTTTCCATTGGTGACCTAGCATATCTCCATTGCCTTCTCTTGCACCGTAATAGGTGTTCTTTGTCATCTTAGCTAAATGAGTTCATAGATATTACCTCCATTAAATTTAATGTCATCATGGATCTAGCATTTTAAATTTATAGTTTGAAGGCTGAGAGCCTGTGCTCAGTGATACAGCATTTGCCTAGCATGCACAGGCCTTTGGTTTGATCTTTCAGAATGAATGGATCACTGTATGAACATATGCTATTTACACAATACGAGTGATTTTTCTTTTTACATATTTATTCAAGTAATAGAATTTCATCCTTTTATAAGTTAATAAGAAATTGTAATTTATCAGTAATTAAATTTAAGGTAATTATGGGCTTGTATCAATTTAAATATGATTGTACTTATGCTCAAGAAATGTTTATATTTAAAGGCTAGAAGAATTTATTGTCATTTTAAAGGTCTTCTGGGGTCAAGAACATTTGAATTGTTTAGTTCTTCTACATGAATTACTCAGTGGATATCTTAATGAGGAAGGAAATTTTGAAGCACAAGTTTCTGAATCAGTGTCTCAAATGCCATCTATGGAAAAAAATCAAGCATTTAAAATTGAACAAACTTCAGATGATCTACGGACAGGTCTTTTTCAGTATATACAAGATGCTGGTAAGTAACTTCTGTTTGAAAGTATGTGTGCGCATGCATGTTTAAATCAACATTCAATAAATGATAACACATAAAAGTCACTTGTAAAGTGCATCTTACTCGCAGTATAAAGTAGTACGTGATTCAGTTCAATCTTTTGAGAAAAAATCTTCAATTCTTTCAGTCTCAACCCATAAAAACAACTGTCTATCTCAGATTTCTCTATATTGTTTTCTTTTTCTTTTTGGGGGGGGGGTGGAAACAGGGATTGGACTCAGGCCCTTGTGCTTGCCAGGGAAAGTGAATTCTTTTTTTTTTTTTGCAGAACTGGGGATTGAATTTAGGCCCTTGTGTTTACCAGGCAAGCACTTACTCTACTGAGCTATCTCCCCAGCCACTACTGTTTTCTTTTCTTCCCATATTTTTTTTCTACTCTTAAGAAACCTACATATATATTTATGCCTGTATGTTATTTCAGAGGGGGTGTGTGTGTGTGTGATTTTTTTCATGGTACTAGGGAATGAATGTAAGATTTATACATAGAGCTATGTTCAGCCCTTTCTTTTATTTTCAGGCAGGGTCTTGTAAAGTTGCCCAGCAGGCTTCAAACTTGTGCTCCTCCTGGCCACAGCCACCCAAAGTATGGGGATCACATCCAATGGGAGTCTGCATGCCCATTCCCGGATAACATATTACGTGTTGCCTTAAAAGCATGATTGAGGGGCTAAGGAGATAGCTCAGTAGAATGGACCTGAGTTTGATCCCTGGTGCCACCAAAAAAAAAAAAGAAGGAAAAGAAAAAAAAAATTACCATTGTAGCAAGAAAAGCATGTGATTGTATTGTCATTTGACAGAACCTCTGAAATTGCCTGGTGTCTATGAAGTCTTCTTTTACAATGAAACTGAAGATAGCCCTGGAATGATGTTATGGAGGTATCCAGAACCTAGAGTGCTCACCCTTGTACGAATAACTCCAGTGCCTTTCAACACCACAGAGGACCCAGATATTAGCACAGCAGACCTAGGTGATGTGCTACAGGTATGTAATGATTAAGTTTAAAATAAAGACATGAGAAAGTGCTGATCATTCGTGAAGAGCAATGTTTAGAGAATACTTCTTATATCAGTAATATCACAGAGAAATACATCTGTACTGTATACAGGTGTATATACAATGGAAATTTAAAGGAAAGGAATAGTGTAATTCAAATTTAAGATCCATGACAATTCATATATCCTAAATCCCACTCTTCATCCTGATGTAGTTAGGTTACCGTGCTCTCTAACTATAATGGGATAAGCAGGTATAATTCAGTTCACCACATATTTAAAAGTGCCTACTTTGTCTTCAGACTCTTCAAAGTTGCTAGAACTGCTTTGTAAAATAATATAGGCCCATGTAAATCCAGGATTTTATAATTTTAATTTTTATTTTTGTAGCTGAAAATGGTCTTAGGCCTGAGACAGGCTGATTTTTAAAACAAGAAAATTTTCTAACTAGTAATTAAATTCCCTATGATTTTGTAAAGTACCAGAATTTAATGCAAATGTCATTATGGATATCATGATAGTAATATCATCATTATTAATATTCTACTTACCTAAATCTCTCCTCAAATTTATTTCTCTTTTAGTCTTTCACCTGTTACTATCCCATAATTATCCACTCAGAATCCAGGAGTCATTCTGATTGTTTTCTTTCCTAAATTCTGCATATCCATCCTATCATCAGGTCTTGTCGTTGCTGCCTCTAAGTCCCTATTCCATATTTTTACTCTATTTTTACAAGTAAAATTTGAGGACAAGCTGCCATTGTTTGTTCCTACAACAGTACTTTCCTGGTTGGTCTCTGTGCTTCAGTTCTTGACTATTTCTACTTAATTGCAGCTATAGTGATCATTTTTTAAAAGGTGGGTCATACCACACTGGTCCTAATTTAAACTCTGGTATGTACCTTCTTCTAATGCTTAAAAGAGCATTCTAGTCACTTCTGTGTATATTTGAGTAGAACTCACTTGAGTCTCCTTTTCGCTGTGCTGCATCCACAGCGTCCTCATCTTTGTCATTCAGCATGCCACTAAAGTCACTTGTCCCAGTCATCCCTTTCTTTGAACATTATTACCACTCACCATTTTTGCCATTTAGGCACCATCTCAAATGTCATGTCCAGGTTAGCCATTATTTTATTCTGTGTTATATTAACCTCTCTTCCTTTCTTCATAGCTCTTATATGGCTGTCCAAAATTATGCATTTACTGTTTACTACTTGTTTTTGTTCACTTTCTTTCTGCTATTAGAAAATAATTATTTGTTTTCATTGATATATGTTTGCAAAACTTTGATTTTGGGGAATTCATATATATTTCCTGCTGGTTTTTAATCAGTCCTCCCCTATTCCTTTTATTCTTTTACTCAAAACCCTTTCCTCATCTCCAGAAAGTCTGCCTGTGTCCTACCATCTCTCCTATTTTGCTCTTTATTTTTTGAGTTTCTCATATAAGAGAAACCATGTGATATTTAGCTTTCTGTATCTGGCTCATTTCATTAAATATGATAGGCTCACAGTCCATCCATTTTCTAGAAAATGATGTGAATTCATTCTTCTTCAGGGATATATAAATTTTATTGTGTGTATTTACCATATTTTCTTGATCTGTTCATCTGTTGGCAGGAATCTAGGCTATTTTTAGTTCTTCGATTTTATAAATTGAGGTACTATAAACATGGATATATACATATCACTGTAGTATGAAGCCTTTAACTCTTTTGGGATTATACACAGGAGAAGTAGAGGTGACTCAAATAAAATTCCTATTTTTAGTGTTTTGAGGAATCTCTATACTAATTTCCATAGTGGTTGTATTAGTTGACTTTCCCTCCAGCAATGTAGAAGTATTGCTTTGTCTCAACACCTTTGCCAAGATTTGTTTTGTATTTTTTTTCTTAATGTATTTAGTACAGAGTCTACAGGGTCTCACTATATAGATAGGACTCATAATGATCCTCCTGTTTACAGACTCCCAAGCGCTGGGATTACAGGTGTGCGTCACCACACCCAGTATCAATCATGTCTCTGCACACCTGGCAGACAGGGACAATGTGGCACACCAGTGATTGAACTCCCAGCCCCTGCGTCTGCTTAAGTAGGCGCTTTAATCCGCTGAGTTATCTGGCAGGCCTCTTTTGTATTCCTAATGGTTAATGGTTATTTTGAATGGAATAAGGAAAATTCTCACAGTTATTTTGATTTGCATTTCCCTGATGGCTAAAGAATCTTAACATGGTTTCATGCTAGGTACTCTGAAGAAAACTATTCAGTTCATTTCTTACCTTGTTTGTTTGCTTGTTTGGGGGGATTGTTCTTGGCTTTTTGTTGTTGTATTTGAGTCATTTGTTTTAGGGGGTACATTTTTTTCTTTGCGTTCTTTATATGTTCTAGACATTTGTCCTCCACTGAACAAGAAGCTCCAACAATTTTTTCCATTCTATAGGTTTTCTCTTCACTCTGTTATCTCCTTTGCTATGTAGATTTTTTCCCATAATTTTATTGATAAACAAATAGCAATGAGACAGTTTCAAATCAAATTGGTTGGACAGTTTCAATAAATAACATCTTGCATATATTCACTCTAGTGGTTAATTGCAGTACAATATGCAGACATGATATCCTATTTAAAAACACCATTAGAACAAATCACTCTATTCATTAAGAGAATGTAACTATATCTATCCTAACCACTTGGAATACATAGATACAAAATGGACATACATCTGTATACCCTTTTTTTGTTATTTGAATATTATAGGTGTGTAAACTTAGCAAAATATTCTAAAAGAGTCCAGTAGCCCATAATAGTATTGAGTCCTCTGCTTGACTGGCAGTGTCAGAAATTGTTGATGTCAGTCCCCAAACAGCTCAACATAACAGCATGGCTTTACTTCTTATATTTCATTTTTATACTTTTCTGCTGGATGGTTAAGACCAAGGTAAAGCAGGACCTATGCAACAAGAGTTGTAGCTTTTGGGT